GGGATGGTGAGCGGCATCCCTGGCCTCGGCGCTACCTACTACATGCCAGGAGCAGCCTTGTCCCCAGGCGCGACATCAAAACATGACTCCACACGCTGCCAACTGTCCCCAACAGCAAAACTGCACCCAGTGGAGAACCACTGCTTTACATTAAAGAAAACCCAAGAGTTAACATGGATAAAACCCCAAAACTTGATCTTATTTGAAGCAACTTACATGAGATATAAAATATATGAGTCAGCTATACTACTAACCAAGTCAGACCTTGTCAATGGAGTCAGCACTGCAGGAGGACATGGCCACCCATCTGACAGAAGAGAAGATTCAAGGGACACTGTGTTACCAGCATGAATGCCACTGGCACACGTCCCTTAAAACTAGCACTGGTCCCTGGCTGGTGTAGCTCAGTGGATTGAGCGCGGGCTGCGAACCAAAGTGTCGCAGGTTCGATTCCCAGTCAGGGTACATGCCTGGGTTGCAGGCCATGAACCCCAGCAACCACACATTGATCATTGATGTCTCTCTCTCTCTCTCTCTCTCTCTCCCCACCCTTCCCTAAAAAAAATAAGTAAATCTTAAAAAAAAGAAAAGAAAATGTTCAAGCTTAATGCAAAATTTGAAAAAAAACAAAACAAAAACTAACACTGGTATCAGGATGGAATTAGTGCCTGTTGGTAATGAACGGCCTATGAATTGTTTAATCTCTATGCTTGTGTTGATGATCACATTGTTTAAGATGAAAACAGCAAATCTGAGTGGGAAGGAACATAAAAGTTGAGGCAGATGGCCTAAACTTTTGTGCAGGAGCTACCCATGAACAGATCGTAGTCTTCTTCTCATTCCTTTCTCTTCAGCTGAGCAAAGCTCTCCTTTTCTGGAGAATTTTCAGAAAGCAGATAGTTTTACCCACCCATAAAAAATCAATTTATAAAATAAAATTGGAATGAACACTGCCCATTTAAAGATATGCATGAATCTTAAGCATAAGGCAAATTTTTATGCTACTTCAAAGCAAGATTCGATGTCCCCTTTATAATAAATATCAACTACAAAACAGATGAAGTTTTAAATAGCAAGTCCACCTACAGGACAGATGTTGGATCAGCGCCAAGAAAACTATAGCCTTGAAGGATACCTGGCACTCTGAAAATACAATGTCCAAAATGTGTTTATTAAAAATACAATATATTAATTTTTCCAAAGAAGTTTTATTAGAAAGTTGAAAAGTATCTCTTCTGTTTCCACAGGGGAAATAATTTTAGACATAGTGACAAAAGTGATGCCTGTAACATTTTACAGCCACATGCCAAAATTTCAAGGATTAAGTCACAATGTGTTAATTTAAACTATCTGATTGAAATCAGTCTTCGTGTTCTTTCTCAGTGCTTTTGAATTTTTGCTTTTTAATAGACATGAGGGAGAAATAGTAGAAATCAAAACAGCAAATACTGGATTTCTGATGGCAACTATAATTGTGTTTCCTTCTGAATTAGTTTTTTTAAAAAATTCTTCCTCTACTTTCCTTTTCTTTCTTCACACAAAATTGAAACCATACTACAGAGTGTTTTTTTTCTTGCTTTTCTCACTTAACATTATCCCATGTCTTCATAGTCACCCAAAAATAATTTTCATTGGCCACTGCTATGAATTTGTACAGTAATATATTTAACTGTTTTCTACTTTAGGGATTTTAAATTGTTTCCAATCTTTTGTTTATATTGCTGGGATGAATTCTTATGCATAAGTATGTTTGCATCTCAGGTTATTTAGGATAAATCCCTATAAGTTAATTTATTTGTTCAAAAAGTAAGAACATTTGTAGAGTTGTACAAAACCAACTGTTTTCCATGAAGGATATGAAATTTACACTTCCATCATTTTGTGACAATGCCAATCTTTTGTCTATTGGAAAATAATGGACATTTTCTTATTCAAAAACTAAAGTATTCAATTCTAAATATTAATATCTCATTGCTTTAATGCATATTCAGTGAGACTGAACTTTTTTATACTTAGTATCTATAATTCTACATTTCAAATAGTCTGTTTGAGCTTTGATTCATCTCACCATTGTAGTATGCTTTTTCATATTAACTACAACAATATAAAAGTACATGCCCTTGCTGTGATATCTAGAAAGTTTTGATTATTATGTTGTAACCAACCTTTCCCTTTGTGATCTTCCCACTACTTTCATGCTTAGAAAATCCTTTCCCATTTCAACATATCTATTGACATCTTTTCCTTTAGTTCTTTTGTTTCATTTTGACATCTGCATTTTTAAAACACCTGGAATTTATTTTTGGTATAGTATGAGAATGGTGATTTAATATCTGGTAGCATGAGAGCCCGTTAATCATTATTTCCAAAGTTTTCCTGCCTATTTTTCCAGATTAACTTTTAAAATCACTTTGTCAGGTATCCCCCCTGCCACCTCCCAAAAACTCATTTAGATTCTTATTGAAATTGCAATTAAACTATAAATAAAAATCAGGAGGAACGCAGAGAAGAATGTTGAATACTGGTGCTATCATGCTTCCTTACCTTAGACCTGATTATCAAGGAAATACTTCCAGTATCTCATTTGAATACCAACACATAGACTTTTTCTTTGAGAGAGGATTGTTTAGTCTGTTAGAGAGCTCCCCTTCCGTTTTTATTGCTAAATCCCTAAATGAATATAGATTTTGTATTTTGTCAAATCCTTCCGTGACATCTTCTTGGGATTACATGTGCAATAACTTTATCTTCTAGATCCCATGTATTAACATGGTTTCTTTTTTAAAAAATATTAATTAATTTTGATTCTCACCTGAGGATATGTTTATTGATTTGAGAGAGAGAGACAGCAATTGGTTGCCTCCCGTTTGCACCGCCACTGGAACAACCTAGGTATGTGCTCTGACCAGGGATCGAACCCAAAACCTTTTTCTGTGTATGGGATGACATTCCAACTAACTGAGCCACCTGGTCATGGCAACAGTTTCTTAATAGTGAGCCACCCTCTAATTCCTCCCATAAATCCTACTCATAGCAGTGCATTATTCTTTAATATGCTGATAATTTGGGGTTGTTACTAGTGCTTTAGTTAACATTTTTACACATAAATATTTCTAGTCTAGGGCCTTCTGAATATAATTTTTTGGATAACTATAAAATTTCAGTGAGTATGATTTCAATTATATGTGCAACTTCTTTATTTCACTTAAGATTTCCCTAGAGAAACTCTGAAACTCTGAGAAACTCTGAAACTCTGAATCTGAGTTTCAATTTTTTAAAAGATCTTATTTACTTATTCTTAGAAAAGGGGAAAGGAAAGGAGAAAGAGAGGGAGAAAAATACTGATGTGAGAATCATTAATTGGTTGCCTCTAATACGTGCCCCAACTGGAGACCAAACCCACAACCCTGGCATGTGCTCTGACTGCAAAACCAACTGGCGACCTTTTCCTTTGTGGGACAACACCCAACCCACTGAGCTACACCAGTCAGGGCCCTGAGTTTCAATTTCTTAAATCTCATACGCATGTACTGTTTATGTGACACTTACATTATCTAATTTGACACACATACGATTTTCACTTTTCCTTTTGTTAGGCATCTTAAATATCTGTCTCTATAGTTACTGTCTTCCCTGTGCTCACCAAGAATTAGCTACTTGAGTTATCAAATCTCCTGTCTTGTAGTCTAATTAATTTTCCCTTACTTGCAGAGTAAATCTTATGGAGTTTTGTGTTTTACTGTGCTCTTTATTCAACTTGTAAAGCATCTATTTCCAGTCATACAATGAACCTGTATTGGAGCAGGCGTCCTTCTAATCACTCATTTCATTCATTAGAAAAGTCGTAACTTCACTACAGGCTATTGGAATTTTTATAACCTATTTTTAAATTTTTGTTAATGATTCATAAAGCAACCCAGTAACTAGATCCAGTCTTAGAAAACTACTTTTTCCCCCAGAAAACACTGTTCCAGTGTTTCATATTATTCATTTTCAGCACTACATGAGCCAAACACTTCAACATAAATTATTTTCAAGAGAAGAAACAAAATGAAATGAAGAAACAAACTGAATGCTGGAAACTATGTTTATACAATGTAAATATAAACAATTTAACCTTATTGTAATTAGAGAAAAATACCTTTCAGAAACCACATGGTTCTTTTGAGGAAGGATAATCTGATTGTAGCAAAACTCGATATTTGTGTAACTGCTATTCATGCGTTCTTGCAATTTGCAATTTTTTATTTTAGCCCATTAGACTTCCCAGTATACTGTTACCATAATTTGGCATGCATTTTCCTGTGTAATTTGTGTATTTTTCTCAGAAATGCTGATTAATTACCTCCATTCTTCTCTGTGAAATTCATATGGACATTCCTATGAAAGTACTTTCTTTTAAGTGTACTTCCCATATTATACGTGAATGAGGAGGAAAGGCTTTTCTAAAAATATTAAATATCTTTAATATTAAAGATATAATAAAGTATATCTTTCGATATCTTTAATATTTATATCATATATCTATATATTTAATAAAGATATATAAATTATAATGCAATATTTAATATATCTAATATTAAATATATCTAATTTATTATAATATTATAATGTTAAATATATTTTATATATCTTTAATAATATTGACCCCCATGGTTTACCCACACCCCTAATAACCCTACTCGTCAACAGAGTTCTTATTGTTAACGAACACCCCCCTTACACCTTCCCCTCAGAAGTTTACCTGTCCCTTCCAGGGACCACCAGAAGTATGGGTAGATTTCTCCACATGCACTTCTGATGTATTTGGGTAAAGAGACAGGTGAGCTGCTTATACTGTTCGTGATAAAGGCAAACACACACGCACCCCCACACCCCGCTCAAGTAGGACAACCGCAAGAACATCCAGCAGGTTGCGCAGCTCATACTGCCGAAGAACACGTAACTGCCCAGGAGACTTTGACAGTAAGACGGAGAGCTAAGGGCTAGGAACGTCTCACCTGCTTCCCCTCCAGTGTGCAGAGCCTCTTGACCACTCCCGAGTCTAGTTTAATGGCTTCGGTGATATCCGTTAAGACTTGTTCAAAGGAATGAGCAGTCTTCTTGTTCAGAAGGATGCGCACAGCTTTTCTCGGCTTCACGCCGCTTCGGATCACAGTCACTAACTTGGGCTTGATGAAATCTTTACTTTCCTTCACTTCGCTCTTCCCTGAGGAGGGCGCCGTCGCGGGACGGGTGGTCCCACCCTTGATGTTCACAGACCAGTTAGGATTAGTGTTTTTGGTGTAATCAACTTTACGAAACGGTTCGTTCGACGCACACACGTAACTCTCACCTAAAAAGCAAAAACCAGTTTTATTAGCGTGACGTCCCCACCACACCAGCACACATGCTGGAGTCCTGTCAAGTGGACTCCTCAACTGAAGAGGGCCCCCATGAAAGGGGTCCACATCCTTCTCCTCTGGCATCCTCCCCCCCCCCCTTTGCTTTGTACAGCATCCAGATCGGCTTCAGGAATAACAGGCATCATAGAGTGAGAAGCACCAGACAGAGAACACAAGGGGGCTCTGGGGTTTGCAACCCAGGTCGAAAGTGTCATCCTGCATCATTCCTCTACACTTTGGGTCTCAGTATCATTATCTACTAAATGGAGTGGTTGGAGCAGATTAAATTTAGAGGACTTCCTAGCTCCAAAGTCTATTAACTGATTTTTTAAAATTTCCTCTGGAAGAAATGATGATTATCACAAAATAATATATTCATGTACAGAAATTAAACTATTTTTCTCCTTCTTCCAATTACAAATTCCAGTCCTAATCAAAGAATAATCAGTACATCTTCACACAGCTGACTAAATTATATTCAGTTACAGAATCATTTACTCAATTAATGAAGCACCACAAAAAGGAAGAAGACTTTTGACAGCTCAAAGAAACATACTCAGGCATTTTTTTCTTAATTAAAGAACATGGATTTAAAATAATTAGTTTAGCCCTGGCTGGTGCGGCTCAGTGGCTGGAGTGCTGGCCTATGAATCGAAAGGTCGCTGGTTTGATTCCCAGTCAGGGCGCATGCCTGGGTTTTGGGCCAGGTCCCAGCTGGGGGTGTGAGAGGAAACCTAGTGATGGATCTCTCACACACTGATGTTGCTCTCCCTCTCTTTCTCCCTCCCTTCTCCTCTCTCTAAAAAATAAATCTTTTAAAAAATAAAATAAAATAATTAGTTTAAATAGATAACCCTTGTATATCTATCTAAATGGCAAAGGATATTAAGTAGTTAAACTAATATGTTTATTACAAGCATAGTCTTCTGCTCAACTTTTATTAAGGAAAACCAAAACTATACTATTGGTCAATTGGTTTACTGAGTCAACGTTCATTAATTTTATGTTCCAAAATTATACTGAAAAATATTTTTTTTCACTGAATGAGCATAATTATATGTTTAAAAACCATAATTTTTCTTTTGGGAGACTCAGAAGTCACCCATTTCTTTAACATCAACTTTTTGGCATACAAGATAAGAGGGTTACACTCTAAGATTTTCTCTAAGATATCTTCTAACTCAAAAAGAATCCATTATTTTGTCACTTATTACATATATTCTATATATAAAATTCTTTATATATGCTATATATAATTCCCTATATCTATATATAATCATCTCATTCTTAATATAACAAGTATATGATACAACCCTTAAATGCTATGAATGCCTAAAACAAAAATAAGCAAAATAGTGAAAGAAAAGTCCCAAGGAAAACTTAATACAAATGTTATATTTAACTATTATCAGGATGTTCTTGAAATCCTGACTACTGGAGAACTTAAAGACTTCCAAAGACACATGAACAATTCCGTAACAGTTCAGGCACACAAAAAGGTCAAAAAAGTGGAGTGATGTCTTCAATTTAAAGGTATAATTGGGCCCCTGTCCAAAAAACTAGCGACTAGTCACAGGCTTTACTGCTGCATCCACACCAGGCACTTGAAGTCTAGCCCAACCATCACCATTTAGAGAATTTTTCCCTCTCTGTAGATTTATCTAAATCATTTTTCATACTGTAATCATCTGGGAAAATGTCGCATAATTTCAAAATAGGTATAAACTTCATCAAATAAAACTATATATCACATGTGTATATTAATGAGCAAAAATAAACAATTATGATTTTCTTTAACTTTATAGAGGAAGCTACTCTCACAATGAAAAGCTCTTACTGCCCTGGCTGGCGTAGCTCAGTGGATTGAGCACGGGCTGCGAACCAAAGCATTGCAGGTTCGATTCCCAGTCAGGGTACATGCCTGGGTTGCAGGCCATGACCCCCAGCAACCGCACATTGATGTTTCTCTCTCTCTCAACCTCCCTTCCCTCTCTAAAAATAAATAAAAATCTTTAAAAAATTTTTTTAAAAAGAAAAGCTCTTACTAATTTTACCTATGATAAAAATTCAATTGCTTGTTCTGACCCAAAATATTAAAATGAAATAAAAAAGAGAAACCCTAGCAAGAGAAGGTGATTTCTTTTTTTTTTTTTTAAAGAGCAGAGAGAAGTCAGCTGGAGAAAAGCCTTTCCCAGCACAAAGAGAAAAGGCAATGGTAAAACGAAAGGAAACAGGAGAAATTTAATGTCCACTTTCCTTGGTCAACGTAGACCCTGTGCAGTGGACATGTTAGCCAGGAGAGCTGCCTTTACATGTGTGTGCGCTTTGCCTCTTTACATGGGTTCAGAATATCAGCATGACAATAGGCAAAGGAAGCCTGTGTTTTCATTTGTTTGTGTGGTTACAGATCAATGTTAATCCCCTTTTTCTCCCTTCCTCCCTTCACAATGGTTCTATTTGAAATGCCCACATCAGTTCCCTGCCCTGTAAAGTTTTGAACCAGGGCTGGCCAACACCTGCTAGACACAGCCACCCCTTTCCTCATGTCCCAGAACACACAAATAACAACTCATAGAACACTCCACTGTTAGGCCTAGACTCTCCTTCACAATATGCAATGAATACTTACTACGAGCTAGCTCATGTGCTAGGTGTTGACATGATATGAAACCCACTTTGGCACCCTTGGCACACAAACATTTCAACACGGATGCTCGGGACATGGTTTGGAGGTCAAACGTGTGTTTCTTCATACTAGGCACAAAAAACCGTACAGCACGGATGTCATGCCCTGCTAACAACAGCCACCACAATGCCTGGGCCAGCTTCCCTTGTTACAGCCCCACCCAGATCAGACGACCTGGTTATAATTTTGTCACTTACACAGATTTGCCTATGGGGAGAGATTTGCCTGTATGCTGACCAAAGTATTTAAGATTATGGTTCCTTAGGCAGTTGCAGCTCCTGTTGTTAATCCAACAGTAAATTATTATTCTGTTAGATACCAGCACTTACAAAGTTGATTAGACGCAATCAGCCTCCTCGCAGCCAGATTCATGCTACTGGGTGGGTTCTTGTGTGAGATCTGTGGCTGCCCTGCCAGCTGGGCGCTGCTCCCTCCCTCCCATCCTGCAGAACTACTCGCTTCCTGCTCAAACTCTCCGGCCAAAAACTTAGGCGCCATCCCGCATTCTCCTGATTCCCTACGTATTGCACATCCTGACATCGAGTTCCGTCCACTCCATCCTTTAAATACTTCTAAAAGTGCCCCCTGCCCCCACTGCAGCAGGCCCCCATCTCCAACCACTCCCCACCTGGATCAACATAAGAATCTTCTGTTTTCTGCTCATTCCTCAGAAATGTAACACGTGTTCCAAATGGAAGTGCATTTTATGCTACTGACATGGCTGAAAAAGCATGAAGTAAAAGTGTCTATACTGATACAATACAATGAGAGAATTTATCTAACTCTTAGTAATACGTGGTAATACTGCACTTGCCAACAAAGCAAGGAAAGGATAGGATCTCATTAAAAACGAGAGTTAAGTAGGAGTTACAGATGGAAAATCAGGCAGTCCCTGAAGCCCATTCACAGCTAGACCCAGTGCTATTGCGAGTGGGTCTCACACTCACAGCCAGACCTGGGTTCCTGTGCAGCGTAATCTCACAGAACACCTATGTCAAACAAAGTCCCTCTGAGACGATGATAAAGTGACACCAAAACAAGGTCACTGTGGAATCTACACAGTCCCAGACACTCTCCTGTCATACGCAGTGAGTGGCTGCCACGGCTTTACCAATGACAGCTTTTTCCTCGATCTGGTTTGCCCGACCCTATAAGATTTACTGAGACGCCCGGTTACAGAAATGCCCTTCCTGCTGACAGCACCCGTTTCCTTAGGTCCTCCCCGAAATTGTTCAGCTGAAACCCCGACTCTATGACATGTCCAGCACTCTCTTCAAGACACCCCATGGTACCACAGTATGCCCATGCATCCTTGCGGCAGTGAATAATAAACCCAACTATAGGTGTGTTTCTGCTGGTCTTTGGCTGAAGCGAATTGAGATACATTCTCTCTCTTTAGTAACAGTTCTTTGACCGTAAGATACCAAGAGGAAGCCATTTTGAAAACTATGGTCATGGGAATAATACATACACAGAGGATTTTCTACCTGTGCAGAGAGACGATGGACAGAGGCATACACAGGTCACACAACTTAACTGTTTCCAAGCATGGTACAGAACAGAAAGTCTTCCAATTTCCTTTGAGATTCTCTCCAGGGGCATGGTTAAGGCTTTTGCCCACTGACATTTGTTCAAAGACATTTTGTTTTATTTTATATTTTGCAGGTTGACAAACTAAGTATCCACAACTGTGTAATATACCCTGGGTGTTTTCGTAACCATTAATTTTCATCCTTAATCAAATCAACTGTCTCCTATTTTAAGAGGCAAGAATCTATTAAAAACCAGGAACTTGCAAATTTCTTCTTCTCTGCAAACCTTCATCCCTGCAAATATATGTCAGTCTGTGCCAATTCTTCCCACTGCTTCTCCGTTTTCAGTGATAAGGGCACCATCCTCCTATTCAACATTAAGTCCACCCATGAGGACTTGGGTCCTTTTCCTCGCCTCAGGCTGAGATTTCAAGGGCATTCTTCTTCTCTCCTCTGTTGACCTAGACAGCCCTCTCTCTCTACAAGATTGTGCACAGGACCTCCCACCTTAAATACACACACAGATCCTTCCCTCTTTCACTCCTCATTCCACTCAACCTGACGTGTGTTTGCCTTTCGTTCACTCCCAAGTTAAAGAGCGCTCCACAGAAGACCCTGAATATCTAAAACGCTCTTGAGAAAGAGGAACAAAGTTGGAGGTATACACACTACCTGATATCAAACTATGCTATAAGGCTAAAATAATTAAAACAGCATGGTACTGGCATAAAAA